AAGGAAGGAAGGAAGGAAGGAAGGAAGGAAGGAAGGAAGGAAGGAAGTCCACCAACAGTAGCCAGGCATGGTAGCACATGCTTTTAATCCCAGCAAAAGCAGAGACGGATAGATCTCTGAGTCTGAAGCCAGCCTGGTCTACAGACTGAGTTCCAGGACAATCAAATACACACAGAGAAGCCCTGTGTTGATAAACCAAATTATTACCATTGTTCCTATTGGTGTCCCATCAACAATAGCTTGGACTGGGATATAATTATTACCATTGTTCCTATTGGTGTTCCATCAACAGTAGCCTGGACTGGGATATAATTCAGCTGTACAACACTTGCTTAACATTAAAAGACCAACATAGCAGGGTACAAAGTTAGACCCAGTAAAAGAGAAAAAAACAATACATTTTAGAGCCACTCTACCAAATGCCCTCCCAAAGCTAGGCTCTACTAGGGCCACAGGAAACCCAACTTTAGCTGACAGAAAAAGGTCCCTTCTTCCTCGCCCGGCAGAGCGTGGCTGTCTGCCTGGGATTGTCAGCAGGTGAGTGCTGGTGATGAGTCACTCTGATAACTTAAGACTTTTATCATAAAAAAATCTCAAAATTCTGGCACATGCTAGTAAACAGTGCCAGTAGTGTGAGTGTGGAATAGGAATCCAATGTGATAAGATGCAACAAGTTCTGAATGCCATGACACCACCCTGTGAATTCAAGAGACTGACCACACAGCAGGAGACAGACGCACAAACATACTGCTCTAGCTGCTGTTCATGGGTTCTAATTGTTACTCTTATTTCTAGCAGAAATTAGTCTTAAAGAGCCCAAATGTGAAGCAAATTATGCCCCAAAGATGTTCTCCTTACTATGGTCAAAGCTGAACGGGATGTGTAACACCAGAAAGTGAGCAGATCAATGCTGCAATCTGTACTCACCTGCAGCCATGCACAGGCACTTAGAAGTGGTTAGGAAAGATGCTAACGCCTTCTTATAGATCTCTTTAAAATGATACATTTGAAATGTCTTTTTTAAAATGAAAAACGTAAAACTATCTTTACTCATGTTTGTGAATGACAATAGCAACATGGAAGGTTAGGAGCCAAGGAGGAAGCAGAGGTATCTCTGGGTAATGAGATCATGGGATTAGAAAGACAGTTCCTTTATTCCCAAAGATTGGGAGGCAGAGGCACAGAGGCAGAGGGAAAGGCAGATCGATTTGAGTTTTAGGCCAGCCTGGTCTACAGAGCAACACAGACAGGACTGTTACATAGAGAAACACTGATTCAAAAAAGGCCAAATGAATAAATGAACAAAAAAAGAAAGAAAGACAGTAATTACCTACCTTTTTATTCATGCTCCTCAACTATACGAATCTACCTACATTTTTAGCCTGAACACATTATTATTGCCTATGTGAACAAAGGCTGGTGGTAAAGCTTTCAATCTCCAGCAGAGGCTGCCAGCGAATACCTTGGTGCCGTCATATGGCTCAGCTGTGCCAGAGGGTGTACCCATCAGAGTGATCACATCGCAGTCAATGGTTTTGTCTGGAGAGGGGGCAAAGGTATCTGAGATCACCCCTAAGAAGTCGGATAACCCCTTCTTCACTTTTTCTGTTGCTCCTGAGGAACCTTCAGTCTGCAGAGAAAACCAAAGAAAGGAAGACAGTATACAAGGGGCAGGATGCAATCCGGGGTCTAGGTGAAGCATCACGGGAGTATAGGTTCAGAGACATGCAACAATCCTTCTCCCCATCTCAGCATGGAGGAGGTAACCAGAGCCCTCCAGTCCCAGCTGGAGATGTAGAACATGGCCAAGGTAGGCATGAAGACAGCCTCAACTGGTTGTTACAACAAAATATCAAACTAGGTGGATCAAAAAGTACTCACTGTGCAAGTCTGAGGACCTGAGCTCAGTCCCAGACTCATATAAACGGCAGGTTTGATGACAGAGTTAGGGAGGCCAAGACAGATCCCTGGTGCTCGTTGGCCAGAGGACAGAGAAGAGTCTGACAAGCTTCAGGCCCAGTGAGGGACACTGTCTCAAGAAACATGGTGGATGGCCACAGAATGCCTGAGGTTGTCCTTGCTTCTAGAGGCATCTGCACACAAGCATGTGAACCCATACATACTTCCAAGCCCACATGAACTTGTGTGCGTGTGCACATACACATTGACACACACACACACACACACACACACGAAGATCCATGTCATTCTAGTAAGAAAGAAGGCCTGGCATGGGTGGTAGTTTTGAATCCCAGGTCTCACACTGGTGGGCTGTGAGGTCGAAATCCTTTCGGAGTCCATCATTTGTAGATAAATAAGACATGGGTGTTACCTGACAGAAACAAGTTTTTATTACTGCTAAGAAAGTAAAATGTCCTGTTCAGATGTTGGGCAGACATATGGACAGACAGCCTTGTTTGACAGGGGGACAGCTGAAGGCAAATGACTCCTCTGCAGGCACAAGTTGTCCATCATGGGTCTGTATGCCACCTGTCTGGCAGGGATAACGAACTGAAAGGCAGGCCAGACTCCAAAACTCTCATACAAAACTATAATATTAATTTTGCTTTGTTGAGACACGATTCTGCTACGTAGCTCAGGTCGACCTAAAACTTGTTATGTAACCAAGGATGGCCTAAAATCTAAAATCTTCCAGCCTCTACCTCCCAAGTGTTGGGATTACAGGTACATATTGACATTTTCTCTTCTTTTATTTATTTATTTATTTATTTATTTATTTATTTATTTTCGAGACAGGGTTTCTCTGTGTGGCTCTGGCTGTCCTGGAACTCACTCTGTAGACCAGGCTGGTCTTGAACTCAGAAATCTGCCTGCCTCTGCCTCCCAAGTGCTGGGATTAAAGTCGTGCGCCACCACTGCCCGGCTTTTCTTCTTTTAAAAGTGTGTGTATGTGTGTGTATATGTGAATGTACTCATGCATGGGTTTGCAGGGGCCCTCCACAGAGGCCAGAAGAGGGCACTGAAGCCCTGGAATTCGAGTTACAAGGGGTTGTGAGCTGTCTGATATGAGTGCTGGACTGAACTTAAGTTCTCTGAAGGAGTCGTCTCCCCCGCCCCCTAGCAAGATTTATTCTTGATTGAGCTGTCTAGGCATTTGCAACCCAGAACCTATTGCAGTGTCTGGCATACATGTTGCCATAAGCATACAATCATATTTGTTGAATGAACAAAAAAAATAAATAAACCAATGAAATAAGCAGTGTTTATTATGGGCTAGACTCACAGCAGTTTACCAAGTTACAACATGCCACTCATACATTTGGACTGGATTTTCACACAGGCCTTTGCTTCATAGCTCAGGCTGGTACTGCTCAAACCTTATGTATGCCCCAGTCTCCTGTGTGCTAGAATTACATGCATGTCTCACCACATCCAATTTGTCATTTGTGATTATCAGTAGCTATGGAAACAAGAAAGATTTTATAAGAGGACTCAATAAAGCAAGCCTAGCTGAGAAAACCCTCAAACTTGTCTTTCTTCTTTCTTCTCCTATTTCCATTCTTAATCCCGTGTTCAGGTAGCCACCGGGCCTGAAGCTTGTCAGTCAGGCTAGACTCTGCCCTCTTCCCTTCCCTTCCTTATTTACGAGAGGAGGCTGGTCTGAATGTTGAGAGGTTCAAGAGATCTGCCTCAGCCTCTTACACAGGGAAAAGTTGTGTGCCACCAGACCTAGCTCAACCGTTATGACCTCTAGTAATCTCAGGGTAACTGATTTAGCTGGAGATCAAATGAGGAAATCAGTTTATTTCTAGACTAATGGGAAACTGTATATAAAAGTCAGTATGTTAGATGCTAGCCAGGAATGGTGGATCATATCCATAATTTCAGAAATTGGAAGGCTGAGGCAGAAGGACTGCCACACCAGACTGGGCTATATATAGAGATGAATTCTCAAGACCACCAAACACGCACACACATGTATATGCGCACATACACTACTAGAAAATAAAACATACTACAAGATCATGTTTGATCAAATAATATTTTTGCTTTTTCCTGTGCTGGCTAGTTCTACATCAATTTCAACACATGCTAGTCATCTGAGAGAAGGAAACTTTAATTGAGAAAATGCCTCTATAAGATGGGATGTTGGAGCCTGTCGAGCATCTTCTTAATTAGAGATTGATGGGGGAGGGCTAGGCCCACTGTGGGTGAAGTCACTCCTATGCTGACGGTCCTGGCTCTCTAAGAAAGCAGACTGAGCCAGCCAGTACACAGCGCTCCTCCATGCTCTTTACATCGGCTCCTGCCTTCGGGCTCCTCTTGCCCAGTTTAAGTTCCTGTCCTGATTTCCCAGTCATTTGGACTGTGAGTTGGGATATGTAAACCAAATAAACCCCTTCCTCTACTCAGGTTTTTGTGTTTTTCAGTTTGGTTTGTTTTTTTTGGGGGGGGTTGGGGGGAGTTCAAGACAAGGCTTCTCTGTGTAGCCCTAACTAAGACACATACTGACTTTAAAACCCAATGCCTCCCTTAGCGGAGGATTTCCCTGTACATCTCAGATGAACAGAACACAACCATGAGAAGACAAGGTGGCACAAGATAAGCACACTTGAGACATGTAAGAATATCCCTGCACTTTTATGATTTATTCTTATAGCATGTGATGTGTGTTTGGGCGTGTCTATATGCAGCATGGCGAACACGTGAGAGGGTTGGGGATGGTTTGGTTTTTCGAGACACGGTTTCTCTGTGTAGCCCGGGCTGTCCTGGAACTCACTCTGTAGACCAGGCTGGCCTAGAACTCAGAAATCCACCTGCCTCTGCCTCCCAAGTGCTGGGATTAAAGGCGTGCGCCACCACCGCCCAGCGCTATTCCATTTTATTGTCATATGTGTGTGTGTAGTCTTGTGTAGCTCAGGTTGGCCTCAAATTCACTATGCTGTAGAGCTGAAATTACAAATATGTGTTGCCATGCCTAGAGCGAGGGATTCGGGGCTTTGCACATGGTACATCTGACGGTTACTATGGACTGCCAACGTGATAAGCTTGAATCACGCAGGAGAAAAGCCTCTGAGCACACTTTTGAGGGGTCATCTGAACTAGGTTAGCCTCTAGACATGCATGAAGGACTACCTAGCTTAGGGTTAATTGAGGTGGGAAGACCCACTGTAACTATGGTTGGTACATTCCATGCTGGGGTCCTGGACTGAGTACGGAGAAATTGAGCTGAGACCAGCATCCATCTCTCTCCTTCCTGCGGAAGCCATGTGACCAGCTGCCTCCTCAGGCTCTGTCAGGATGGACTGTCCCCCACAGGATGGACTGTGAGCCAGAATAAGCCCTTCCTAAGTTGCACTTATCAGACGTTGGCCACTATGAGACAAGCCACCAACCACTGGCACATCTCCAGCTCCTGACGAACAACATTTCCTTTTACTTGAGATTTGTTGTATTGCCTCTGTGTGTTTCCCCTAGTGTATGTGTGTGTACCCCTGGAACTACAGTGACAGAGGGTTATGACTCACCACCTGAATGCTAGGAACCAACTCAGGGTCCTCTGGAAGAGCAGCAAGGGCACTTGACCACTGAGTCATCTCGCCAGCCCCATAAGAATAAGTTTCTTTTGGGCACTTTGCAACAGATATTAAAAGCCTAAAACTACACTTACCCTTGACCTTTTCCATATCGTATAATAAAATATTACAAAAAAGGCAAAATCTTAACAAGATTAGTGTTGACTGAAGATCTATGTACAATACCAGAAGTGCAACAGGAAACTGAAGGCTTTTTAAATTTATCTAACCAACGACCAGGCCACTCAGGACAATGCTGAATGAGGCCTGCAATGATTTACGTGAAACGGTCAGGAACCGGAGAGACGGCTCAGCAGTTAAGTCGGCCTCTTCCAGAGTACCCCAGTTCCACTCCCAGCACCCACGAGGTGGCTTACCACCATCTGTAACTCTAGTTCCAGGGGATCTTACACCTTCTCCTGACCTCCATGGGTACATGCATGTGGTACACAGGTATACATGAAGGCAAAACACCCATACATATTAAATAAGTAAATAAAGGGTTTTTTTAAATTTGCATTAGTGTTTAACCTGTATATATTTGTGAGGGTGTCATATCCCCTGGAACTAGAGTTACAGACAGTTGTGACCTGCCATGTGAGTGCTGAGAATTGAACCCAGGACCTCTGGAAGAGCAGCCAGTGCTCTTAACCACTGAGCCCTCTCTCCAGCCCTATAAATAAACATGTGGGAGAATCAGTAGTTTAAGGTCATTCTCTGATATGGAATCAATTTGAGACTACTCTAGGCTGTGCAAAAGAAAAAAAAAAGAAAGAAAAAGAAAAGAACAAAGGAGTAAAACCAAATAGGTTAAAAAATAAGGTACTCAGGACTGTTAAGAAGGCTCAGTGGATAAAAGCACATGTTGCCAAGCCAAATATTAACGGTAGTTACCTTCATGGGGAGTTCTTTTATACACACATACATGTGCCACACACTTAGTACCTACATTTTTTACAGCGCATGATTTTGCTAATGGAACACATTACAGACATGGGAAAACTATTACTCACTCTATAGCTTATCTGCTTGACCAATAATTCTTTCTTTTCTTTTTTTTTTTTTTGTTTTTGTTTTTCGAGACAGGGTTTCTCTGTATAGTCCTGGCTGTCCTAGAACTCACTCTGTAGACCAGGCTGGCCTCGAACTCAGAAATCCGTCTGCCTCTGCCTCCCAAGTGCTGGGATTAAAGGCGTGCGCCACCACTGCCTGGCCCAATAATTTTTTCAAAGTGGGAGGAAAAATATCCCTTTCTCCCCACACAGTAAAAATAATCACCTAATGAAAGAAAAGTTGGGAGTGTCCACCCGATTCCCAGGGCAGACCAAACTATGAGGGGCGGTCACTCAAGGAGAGGTAGTACTCACAGCCAGCTTCTCCTTGACCACACTGGCTGTGGCCGCTATGGTGCAGGCTGTATCATGCTGCACCACCTGGGTAAACTCTGTCAGGTCCCGCTTCATGAACTCCAAAGCTTCCGTGGACTGTGGAAGACAGAGAAGAAAGGTAGAGCTGGCACATGCCATCATTCTGTGTGCCTGGCCTCTTCGGCACCAGACAGGTATGTAGAAATGTCTAGTGACAGAAGAGCCATAAGAGTGACACAGGAATAATGCTGAGTTGTCCTGATTCCATGACCTGGGATTACCTAGACTAAGGACCGAGTCTCAGCTCAGGCACTCATAACTCCGTGCCCACGAGTGAGTCCACTCAGTCATTCATTGTTTTTCTCCTATCAAATAATCTCAAAACCAGAACGGCATTAAAAACATACACATATTTTCTAAACAGGCTTTGAAAACTTCTTTTGATATGGGTGTTCTGTTTTGTTTGATTTTATGAGACAGGGCTTCTGTGTTTATCCCTGTCTGTCCTGGAACTCACTCTCAAGCTCAAAGATTCACCTGCCTCTGCTTCCCAAGTGTTGAGATTAAAGGAGCTTTTTAAAAAATTTTTTAAATTTTTTTATTTAAATCCAAGAAGAGTGTGGATTCTCCCCCACGTCTTCCACTCTTCCCGGTTTTGTCTCTCTATTAAGTTTCTTTGGAATGAATGATATTTGCCTGTCTAGCTGACCTGTTTCAGAACTAGTTTGAGCCAGCTGGTCTTCTGCCTGACTTCCTTATATCCTGCTTGCCAACTCTAAGATGACTTCCTAGCGCACCTGTGCTCACCCCACCTTACGTGTCCTCTCACCTCACATGGGATAAGTGTCCCCTGATGTTCTGTTTTGAGAAGGTTTACTATGTAGGCCGATCCTTCTACCTCCACTTCCTTCCCAAGTGCTGAGATTACATATCTGCATCATCATGCCCAGGCAAAGCATGTTTTTGAGTATTCTGGTTTTTCGTTTGTTTTTCCTGGGATGGCCCTGCCTACTTCTGACCTGGCATGACTGAGTTCGACAATAAGGAACCACTAAGAAGGTGGAACAAGTGGGACACAAATGAGATTTTCATTTTTAATATGTCACTAATGACTGGCACAGTTTTAGCCATTTAGAGTCAAGGTGACCATGAGATATCTGGGTAGTTGTTCGGTAAGAGCTACCCTTAAGCACCAAAGGGTCTAGAGAAAGAAACAGGAATCATCCCCAAGGAGAGGTGCACAGTAAGAGTCTGCAGAGCACACACAGTTGTGAGCTGAGGACAAAGATCTTCAAAGCCCCATCTTTAAAGGGAAGGCAGAGAAACATGAGCTCAATAGTCGGGAAAGAAAAGCCTGGACAAGTGTGTGGAGAACTGGGAGAGGGTTTCACAAAAGTTGAAAGAGTGGCGATTCAAAAAAAGGGGGGTAGGGTGGGGTGGGGAGCATGTTAGTGTCAACTTCTGCACAAAGTTCCAGAAAGATAAGGGCTAAAGAGTACCCAGTGGAGCTGGCAAGTGTGAAATGTGTGTCATTACAGATAAGTGTACAGGTGGTGGCTCCAGGGGTGGGGAGGGAGCCACCCAAAATCAAGCTTACGTCATATTTTTAAAGTATGCCAGGGTGCTGAAAACAGACTTGAGGGAAGAGTTTCTGAAGTCAAGGGGAAAAGGAAAGGGCTGTTGGGGGATGCCCAGGCCCAGTGAGACCAGGGCATCTGAGGTAGCGGAGCACACAAAACAGCCGAGCCTTCTCTAATGCTGTGTCTGTGCTAGTACTTGGATGCATAGGATGGATGGCAGAAGACTCAAGACAGGATCAGGAAGGAAGCAGAGGAAGGCAGATTATATGGCCCTCTGAAAAGTTGTAGGTTCTGGGGCAATGTATGCTAAGACAACAGGGAAGAGACCCACCCAAATGCAGCCAGGATGTGCAGCAGCAAAGATAGCAGAAAAGCAGCAAGGGAAAAGTCTAAGAAAAATGGCAATTAAGTTTTACTGACCCACTTAATAAAGAGCAAGTGCCTGTGCAGCATCTGGAGTGCTGCATATTACCATGTAATCCTCATGACATCCCATTACATAGGGGCTTTTACTTCACTTTACAGGTAAGGACATGAAGCAAAAGTTAAAAGTTAAAAAAAAAAAAAAAAAAAAAAGCTGGGCAGTGGTGGTGCACGCCTTTAATCCCAGCACTTGGGAGGCAGAGGCAGGTGGATTTCTGAGTTTGAGGCCAGCCTGGTCTACAGAGTGAGTTCCAGGACACCCAGGGCTATACAGAGAAAACCTGTCTTGAAAAACCAACCAACCAACCAACCAAACAAACAAACAAAAAACTTGCCCAAGTCAAATGCTACATGCCTTTAATCCCAACACTTGGGAAGCAGAGGGAGGCAGATCTCTGTGAGGCGGAGGCCAGCCTGCTCGACATAAGGCTTCCAGGGCAGCCAAGTGGTACATATACAATGAGACCCTGTCTCAAAACAAAACAAACCACCACCACCAATAACAACAACAAAATAACTTGCCCAAGTTCTCAGAAATGTAAGGAACAACAGGGAGAGATTAAGTCTCTTCCTGAGATCAGCCTTGAAACACACAGGAAGCCCTCATGCGACACCTGCTGAATACCATACTTTTTTTTTTGCATCCTTCTTTGAGGTCTCAATATTAAGTCCTGCCTCTTCATCTTCAACAAGCCAGCTAGCATGGGGAGTTCTCAGATGTGCTGAGCTGTAGCTTGAGAGGGAGTATCCAGGAGAACCCAGACCGAGGAGAAACCAAAAAACAAAACTGTTCCTAAAGTACTGGGCTGATTTGGGATCAGAAGCTTCTTGGAGTCTGCCCCAAAGCACGACTCACTTCATTCTCTTGAGGTAAATAGTAATTAGTTATTCCACGAGTTAGTTGAGCAGCTTTTAAATAAAGTAATGTGGCTAAAACAGAAACACCAACTGGCATTGCCTACTACAGGGACAAACATTAGTCACATCACAGGGATTACTTAGCCAGACACTCCCCCAGGTCTCCACGCTCTGGCCATCAATCCCCCTTCCCTTTGCACACCTCTCATTTAGGCACCAACGCATGTGGCAATCCATATCTCTATCCAGATTCTTTTCACCTTCTTTGCTACACCTTTCTTGGCATCCTCATGACTCCCTAACCTACACAAGATTTTAGGTACTTCCCTTTCACGGTGTTCACAAGAGTAACTAAACAGCTATTTTTGCTTGACTGTCTCCACAACAGACGGAGCTTCCTGAGGCCGAAGACTGTGTCTGTTTGGCTAACTAAGGTCTGTAGCCTCACAACCTGTTTGAGAGTAGTGATTGTCATATACTCTAATATTTAAATTGCTGCTTAAGAGTAAGGTGTTGTTAGTGGTGGTTTTTTATCCTTTTCTCTTAAATGGCCTCACAGAAGCTCGAAAAATCCAGGCAGGGGCTAGCTGGAGTTAGTTGCAAGAGACGGCCGCGGTGCCCTACGGAAAGAAGGGTGCTGGCCCGGCTTACCTTCTCTTTGACTGTCTGGTAGCTCTGCTGCAGCCAGCTCCGCCACCACCCTACGTCCTCCCTGTGGAAGACAGACACATCTGACGCCCCTGTCGTGCGACTCCCTGCCCAGCCTCCGCTGTGACCGGCGGATGAGGTTTCTCGGGCCGATTTCCCATCCTCTTGCACCACGCCTCCACTCTGCCCTTTCAGCTCGGTCCGCACCCGCACCGGCAGCCTGTCCTCAACAGGGACCCTGGCCCAGTACCCCAACCCTTGAAGAACCCAGGCCCCAACGCCAGAAAGCAGAACGACAAGCTCACCCTTCCGCCATCTTGCCAGCATGACATCACCACTATTTACCGACCTTTGACTTCCGACACGGCACCGCCCCCTCAAGCTCCGCCCCCAAGAGCGCGTCCCAATCTTAACACAAGCGCAACTCTCCGCCCAATCCCCGCCCCCTATATCAATGTATCCCGCCTTTGTCCAATCCGTGTCCCAAATTCAATTTGTCCCGCCTCTGAACTCTCGATCCAATCGTATTTAAGATTGTCCTCGGGTTCCACCAACCAGCCGCTAGCTTTCCCGGTAGTCCCTGACTACAGTGGCCTCTCTGGGCCAAGTTCCACAGACTCCTTAGACCGCCAGTTGGAAGTGGAGGAGAGGAAAGGAGGGGCCGGGTCGAACGTCCGAGTTCTTAGAACCTGGTGCTAGGACCGCCCCCCTTTGTGAAACTGGCCGCGTAGCAGCTGCTTGGTGTACTGTTCCAGGCTAATTCAGCAAGCTCTGACTGTGGACCTCTGAGCCAGAGTAAGGCTGTGGGGAGAATCCAGAGGCTTCTTTAAGCTATCCTCATTCAGGATGGCTCCCAGTATCATTTGGAGAGGCAGATACACGTTCAGTTATCACAACAATAAGCCCAATTTAAGGAAACGTTCTCTGAATGTGTTCTGGAAAATCCTGAGACTGACTGATAGAGGGGAATTGAGGTCTATTGAGTTGTGGAAGGGGGATTTACATAGATCCTGTGGCCCTACTTACTACCACAATCTACGCAAACCCCACCCTCACCCCCAACAGGAGTTTGACTCCGCTCCTAAAAAGTTACATCTTAGTTAAGGTCATCTCTGCTACCTGATCGTACCTGCCTGAGGAACAAGCTATACTAATTCTCCCAGTGTTCCCCCAACGCCGCTCATCTAACTTTAAAAAGATTGTTGCTAGTAATACTCCTGTCTAAAAGACTAACAAAACACACCTTTCCCCCTTTAAACGAGACAGAGGCTTGCAGGTAGCCAGGACTGGCTTGGAGTTTGTGTAGTGGAGCTGGCTTCCAACTCTCTTCTGCCCCAGCTCCTCCATGCTAGGATCAAAGGTGTGCACTTGTGTCCGGGTTTAACAACCGACCCCCTTTTGACATCACACTACTTCCCTGATTTTCCATAGTGGAAAAACTGTCTTAATTATTTAATGTCTCCCGAATTTTTTCTTTTATTATGTTTTGAATTTTTTTCAGTCAGGTTTTTGCTTCTCAAAATCCGTTGAAGGTAGTTTCATCCCCAAGATTGATGGCCAGTTTTCTATTCTCCTATTCGAACCATTATATCTTACACGACACAGTTCCCACACTGCCTCCTTTCCAAAGGCTTTGTTCTAGTGGCTTTCTGGACATCAAGGCCTCCTGACCTGTCTTCTGGGCATCTCCACACAGACTTTTGCTTGCTTCTAGAAAGTTCAAGAACTCTGTCCTTGGCTCTCTTTTTCCAGTGTATGATCATCCCTCAGGTGACCTCAAATCTCAAGATTTTGAAAGCCACCTGTAAGCTAACAATTCTCAGATTTTCTCTTCACCTCAAATACCTTCTCTGAACACCAGGTTCTCTATATCTATTAAATGTATTATAACGAGCATATTAAATTCCAAATGTCCGAAGATAAACTTCATTTATAAATGGTGACCTCATTCCTCCACTTGCTCAAGCCAGTTGTCCTTGATCCCCTCTTTCAGTTCTGTTGGCTCCACCTTTAGAACAAGGGTGGAATCCAGTCACCACTTAGCACCTCCACAGTTGCTCTGTAGCTACAAAGCTACTATCTTCTTTAACGACAGCCACTTAGCCGGTACACCGTTCGAATTTCCTGAATCTAGTTTACTTACTCTGTAAATGAACTATGTTTTGGGGGAATGAAAAAAGACACAGTTGCTTTTGTGATAAAGTAAGCGTTTCCTCAAAACGTTACTCTATGATCTAGCAATTCTACTTCTGGGCATATACCAGCACATGAAAGAAACCTAACAAAATATAATTGTGTTTGTAAAGAAATATTATTCAACCTTAGAAAGGAAGAAACTCTCACATATGCTCCAACATGGATTCATCTTGATGATGTTATGCTGAGCCAAATAAGGCAGATACAAAAGGGTAGCTAGTATTATTTCATTCAAGTGAAGTACTTAAAGTAGTCAAATTCAGAGACAGAAAACGGCGGTTAGAAGGGCTTGGAGGGAGGAGAGAATATAGGTTTCTGTTTAATGGCTCCTTAGGTGGAGACAGCTGCTTGGCAGTGTGCGGGACAGATTCCGCTTACAGATCATTAAACTGAAAATGGTTAGCATGGTATGTGTATTTCTTAACTAGAGGATTTAACCCAAGAAGATGCTGCAGGGGCTGGGCATGCTATCAGTAAATTACATCCCAGCCCTTAACTGGTTCATTTATAATCTCACAAATAAAAACATGCCAATCAGACCGCCACTGTTCTCCAAAGTCTTCCAAAAGGCATCATCTGTTCACAAGAAGAGCAGTTAAGCCCTGACGTTCTCCTTTCTGTTCCTACCTGGTTGGTCTGACCTTTCACCGCTGCCCTCCTTGCTGGTACTGCCCCATGTACAATGGCTACGTAGATTTCCCAGAAAATTTCTGGTGCTTTCCTGACCCAGAGCCCTTGAGTTTGTCTTTTCGGCTTACAGTGTTCTGACCTCAGTTTCTTACCCACTCTGACCATGTTATTGAGAAGTGCAGCTTGGGTCTGAGTGTGGCACACACTGTAGATACCAACACTTGGAGCAGAGGTGGATGGATTTCTCTGTGAGTTTGAGACCAGACTGGTCTACATAAAGTTCAAGCAAAAACAATCCCACCCAGAGCGAAAGCACTCACTCTTGCAGCCCCAAGACTGCCATCTTTCTTCCCTTCTCAATTTTCTTCCTCCAAATCCATCACCATAGATAATATTGTATATTTTAGTTAGTTTTTTTTTTTAAAGAAATTACCTGCCTCTTTTGTCCAGAATTGTGATTTCCATGTCTTGGGTCCTGCCAGTCCCCAGCACCTAGAATGGTTGTTGAGTGAATGTAAGAATAGTCCCCGGACAGCATGGACAATGACAAGATGGATCAGAGCAATCTGGAGCAGCTAAGATGGAGACGAGAGAGAAGATGCGAGGTGAGGGCTACTAACAGGCATGTTCCAGGACTTCGGAACACAAGGAGAGTCAGCAAAGGGTTGTTTGTTTGTTTGTTCTGTGGAGCTGGGAGATCAAATCCAGGACTTCACATGTGGTAGACAGGTGCTTTCCCACTGACCGCTGACCACACATCCATCTTACCTGTGTGATGTCACCAAAGGCTTTGTTTTATGTTTACTTTTGTTTCTGAATTTTGTCTTTTAAGTCAGGCTCTGTGGGGACTGGAGAGATGGCTCTGCCAGTTAAGAGCCTTGCTGTTCTTTCAGAAGATCCACTTCCTAGCACCCATGGCTCACAATCTTCCATAACTCCAGTTCTTTTTCTTTTCTTTTCTTTCTTTTTTTAAAGCTTCTTTCTTTCTTTCTCCCTTTCTTTCTTTCTTTCTTTCTTTCTTTCTTTCTTTCTTTCTTTCTTTCTTTCTTTCTTTGATGTATGTGAATACCCTGTTGCTCGCTGTCTTCAGACACACCAGAAGGAGGCACCAGATCCTGTTACAGATGGTTGTGAGCCACCCTGTGATTGCTGGGAATTGAATTCAGGACCTCGGCAAGAGTAGTCAGTGCTCTTAACCATCTCTCCAGCCCCGATAACTCCAATTCTATAAGATCCAAGGGCCTCTTCTGGCCTCTGCAGGCGCCAAGCTCTCATACACACACCAGGTAAGTCTGCTCTCCACAGCAAGTTCCAGGGCAGGCAGAAACATAGTGAGACACACCTTTTTAAAAAATGGCTTGTTTTGTCTTGTTTGCCGTGTAATAATGATATGTTCAAATCAGGGTCATTTGTTAAAAAATAAATCTTTTGTAAAGTAAGATATTAATATTTAGAGACATCAAATTTCTTCCCAAGGCCACAAAACTAGGAAAAGCTAGAATTCTCATATGAACTTGAAGTTGTCCATTCAGCAGAGAAGACTGTTCCAACATAGGCTTAAGCCAATAGAAAGTCTTTATTACCCAGCCAATAATTACACAGTTCAGGATCCCTGTGTAGCCCCAAGCCTTTCTCAGGGTGAGCTTTTAAGCACAAAGACTGTATCCTAGGTTGATATACTTCAGTTAACAGCCAGAAGCAGAACTACAGAAACTAAAAAACAAGGTTAGTACCTTTAGAGACTTTCCCAGAACTATGGACTTTGATTGATTAGGCTTTTGTTTTAGTTATAGCAGGTGGTGCTGTCTACATGCTGAGTGTTTCAGGCTGAATGCCACTTCTGTCATGGAGTCAGTTGTGCTAGGGTCTCAGGGCCTATTAGAGGTCTGGGACCCTGTTACACCTAGTTCCAGGAAATCCAACAGGCACACATGTACTGTACATATATGCATATAGGCAAGATACTCATATGCAAAGTAAAATAAATCTAAAATAAATTTCAAAAATAAAATTTCTGCCCCTCTCACATGTTATGTCTTCTTGTCCTGGCCTTCCACAGAGATAATAAGCTATACAGAGGCGACAACTACTTTCTACACCTCAGTATAATCCCTGTAGCTCACAACTTCACCCTAAGGCTGGCACGGTGCTTGCTCACAAAGTCTTCAAACTCATTAGAAACTCAACGTACTCTGGTCTTCCTCTTTTGTCTGTAGAGAGAATCTCTTACAGGCAGCGCCTGTCAATAAAAAAGCTGATGGCCAATGAGCCGAAGCAGGAAGTAGGAGGTGAGACACGGGCAGGGATAGCAAGAATTCTGGAAAGTAGTCAGAGGGATTCGAGGGATTCTCCAGCCAGATGTTGAGGAAATAAAGGGCCAGGACCGAGGAGAGGTGACTAACCAGCAGGTAGCTGAATTCAGGTTACAATAAAGGTAAGGTTCTCCTCAGGAACACTGAGGAGACGGACGGATGGAAGAAGACAAAGGAAACCAGCCACGTGGCTGAACCTGGGTTACAATAAAAGGGTTAATAAGA